GGCCGGCGTCTGCAGGTGCTGCAGGTGCGCGCCTACGCGCGCTGGCAGGACGTGTCCATGCGCCGCATGCAGATGATCGCCGACTTCGCCGAGCGCCGCTTCCTGGGCGAGGTGGACTACCTGGTGTGCGTGGACGTGGACATGCGGTTCCGTGACCACGTGGGCGTAGAAATCCTGTCGCCGCTCTTCGGCACCCTCCATCCTGGTTACTACCGGAGCCCCCGGGAGGCTTTTCCCTACGAGCGCCGGCCGCAGTCCCAGGCCTACATCCCGCGGGACGAGGGCGACTTCTACTACTTAGGCGGCTTCTTTGGGGGGTCGACGCGGGAGGTGCAGCGGCTCACCAGGGCCTGCCACCAGGCCATGACGGCCGACCGCGCCAAGGGCGTCGAGGCGGTGTGGCACGACGAGAGCCACCTGAACTGGTACTTGCTGCACCACAAGCCCACCAGGGTGCTGTCCCCGGAGTATCTGTGGGACGAGCAGCTGCTGGGCTGGCCGCCCGTCCTGAAGAAGCTGAGGTTCGTGGCGGTGCCCAAGAACCATCAGGAGATCCGGAAATCTGATCCTGAGAGCTCTGAGGCCCAGCCTCCGGCCCCGGACACCGGGCGCTAGGACAGTCCTAGGAGAGGATGTGACCCTGCCCCGCACTCCGTCCTGTTCTGTTGGGGAAACAGCTGAAGCCTAACCCTCCCCCCACGAATTCAGGCGGACCTGACACCAGTCCCCGCAGACGCGCATGTGCACAGACGCACCGAGGCTGCCCCTGGTCAGCCCCCTGGGCATGGGCTCTTGGCCTGGCCACTCGCTCCTCCACACTCCACCCCCGCCCCGGCCCGCTGAGCGCTCCTAAGGCGCCTCCAACTTCCAAGAGGCAAGGGGTCTCAACCCCTCCTAACAAGGGACCAGGGATAAAGGACGCTGCAGGGCACAGCCTCAGGAGGACAGGGTGCCCAAGGGCCGCACATGGCTTCAGCTTTAGACAATTAGCTTCCTCTTCTCACAGACCCCGCCCAACCGGCTTCCTCTAGCTCCAGAGACGCTCCAGCCTGACCCCTCTTTTTCAAACTACACATCATAGTCCTGTGCGTGAGTCCCCAGACTGCCCGCACCTCCTGTCCGCTGTACCTTCCCAGCCATTTTGGATGGACCTGCGTTTCTCCCAACCTGGCCAGGCCAGAGTCAGTTCTGCCGCGATGACAGGAATAGCCTCCCCTGGTCGCTCAGCTTGTGCTCTGGGCCCCTCTGTCAACACATCCCTCAGCAGCCAGCGGGGCCCTGCGGGGACCCTGCCACCTGGAGGCTGTATCCAGTGGCCCCTCCTGTCCTCATGACCCAGGTTGCATGGGGCTGAAAATTTAGAATTTGGGGGCTCTTTAAGAAAAGAAAAAAAGGCTCGGCGCCTGTGGCTCAAGCGGCTAAGGCGCCAGCCACATACACCTAAGGTGGCGGGTTCGAATCCCCAG